GGGGTGGGTGGAGGGAGAATTAACAACACTTCCTACTCCCCATTTCGCTGGGAATTGCTGCCTCGGGTAATTCCAGAAGGCTGTGAGTACCCTCCAAATCTCGTAGCGGCGCAGGGCGCCAGCTTCTCCGTAACATTTTCCATTGGTATCATAACAGGGCTCCACCGCTCCGCTTTTTAAACGAGCTCCTTCGGACCAAACGTATAACCTATATTATCTCCAGCATGTCCTGTTTAAGCACAGTTTAGCCATCGCTACAGAAATGAGAGCAAAAACAAAGACGCGACTAGGATCGATATACTCGTTAATAGCTTCGCTCCTATCTTATCTTCCTGCCATTTTGCAAAGTGAGAAGGCTTAACGTTAAACCTCTTAAATCAGGTTATTATATAATAAACAAGGGTGAAGCATTTTGCTACCTGAGTCTTGGAAGAAGCAGCGTCAGTGGCTGGTGTGGGGGTAACACGCGTATTTACCTGCCATGCCTGAACCCAAGATATTCAGACACAAATGCGGCCGATAATTCAAGATGAAATACAACGTGTATTACTCTTGAAAAGAGGAATTTTCTATCCTTTCCTCGGTAATTGAGGTCATTCAGCCAGTAGGGTTCACCTGGAGTCCATACTGTGATACACACGTAACTCAAAGCTATTTTATCTTTTGTGCTGATAGTCAAGATCTCGGCTATAACATTGACATCAAACTCTGTCTGGGCGAATGACTAAGAGTGGTGCAAAACGTAAACTTTTGACCCTCAACTTTTTGACCTGCAGTTGTAACGCCCTTAACCACAAAGATATACAAAAGCTATGCAGCTTCTTCTAGGAGTAAGAGAGTCGCACTGTTTGTTTCAATACTTCTGCTGTTTCCCTCAGCTTTCTAAGGGGGCTTTATTTTTTTCTTCTTACTTTTGAGAAACCGGATACTTTTACGTTTTTAATTTTTTTCCCTTAATCTCGCAGTTTTGCAAAGTGCTGTTAGATCAGTTTGCACAGCCTTTCGGCAGCGTTGGAGGGAAGCCTGTTACTCAAAGGCGCTATATGGTTACAGTTGCAGGTGAAATGCTGGGTAAGTTCTGGGCGTGAGGTTGGAAGGAATGTAGCGACGAGCGTTGGGGGGAAAGCTGCAGCTCTCTGCTGAAGGGTCTTAGTCATTTCTCCTTGATTTAAACATAACGAAACAACTCTAATTGTTTGCGAAGCCTTGTCTAGGCAAACGAGTTGACTGTGAACTTGGTCTAAAGCGAGCTCTGCTGGTGATTCCTAGGGTGTGCAGATTTATCTTTTCTGCATTTACTTAACCTGGCAGTGAACTGCACGGGCTGCCATTTATTATCCAGAGACAGACTTCACCTCAAGCAAGGACTGTTCCACAAAATTGCAATAATTACCCAATAACCTTCATCGCAAATATTATTATTGAAAAGACATTTTTGGGGGGGAGGGGATATAGGAAAGATTCTTTTTGCATGCTATAAGGCAAAATCCATGCAAATTTTACACGCTCTCTGTGTCAGATTTGATAGCGTTTGTGCGTGTAGCTACAGGAACATGTGACTGGGGTGGTCCATGAGTATCTGCCTTCCAGAGAGACATTAGTGGGGATGCTTTAATTTGAAGGGGATAATATTTTCAAAGATGATCAGACGTCTGTGGGAGACGTGGTTTTGTGCTCTGGCTAGCAACTCTAGTCTCAAAACGGGAAGATTTTGAGGGCAGGAAAGAGAAAGAACTAAGAAAGTGAAGCGATAACTTGGTCAGGAGATTTACTTATGTCCGCGTTTCATGCCTTAAGTCTGTATTTGCGGGGCGGGAAAAAACATTGCTCTAGGATTCAGGGTTTGAAATCGAAACCTCCTGATCCGCCCCTCATGATCTGTTCCATTCAATTTCCCATGAAGCAGTTTGCAAACCCCTCTGTTGTCACCCTTCCACAGATACACACTTATTAAATGTAAGGAAATGGCAGAATAATAATTTCCCTGTAATGTTCTACAATTAGGGCGTTTGCATGGTTTAGACAAGGCTGCAGAGCTGTAATTTACGGATGACTTTCCATTGGATTGTTATACTTCAGGTTTAGAGAAAGTTATGTCTTGCAAAGTCACCAGTTACACACATTAACAGAGCTGCCTAATCTTTAATTGGCCTTATGCTTAAGACGTGAGACGCTACACGCAAGTATTTCTTTCAAAGCATTAGGCAAGCTATATTTCAAATCACAGAACGCAACTTGCCATGCCTAAGGTAGAACAAATTCCCACGCATTAATCCTCCAAATACAGCAGAAAAATAACGTGTGCAGTTAAGACCTCTCTCCTGATTCCCAGCGATAATTCCCCATGACATTTTCCCTCGGAAAACAATTCGGACCTGGGACTATTTTCATAGAGTTCGGCAGTCTGAGCTCGTTTGAATTTCAAATTTCAAAGCGGACTAGGAAATCTTTATGCATTTCTGCGTTTGAATGGTTTCAACTGTGCTTCTTAGGACAGGGCAGGGCCAGAAATACGGTGAAGTTGTCATTACTATCTAACTTTCTTTTGTTGCTCGTGTTTCTTACAGTATGGGCGGGTTTGTATGCTTCTGGGCTTGGGGATATTTTTCTTCTCCATAGTTCTTGAATCTATGTACATTGCTTTCCGTGGAATATGCTCCAGAAGCCACACCAGAAATGTGGAAAATACATAGTAGCAAATCTTTTCACTCTAAACAATTAAAAGTTACAGTCCACGATGGAATCCAGCATCCTATAATATTAGTTGAACGGATGTGCGTGTGTTTGTATATTCACCAGCTAATTCAAATAATGCAGTGTTGTTGAATACTGAGTAATCGTGAGCTGTTTGCATCTAGTATCGTTCCCATCTACAAGCAAATAATTTTCCTAGCAAAAGGACCCAGAAATAAACGAAGCCCAAACTTTTAAAGGTTTTTCATGCCTTGCCTCAAACTATAAAATTTTACGACATATAGTATAATATAATGCACACCTATCATATATAACTTTCTGGTATTCCTATTGACGAAAATGTGACAGCTAGTGTACTATAAAATCTCCAGCTGTTTATAATGGAAATGAGTTTCAAATGCACATTTGGATATGTTCTTTTAAAGCCTTTCCCATTTTTTTAATATAAAATATATGCAGATGTGTTTGTTTGGTGTTCATAGGAAGGACAGAAAGACACAAAGGCTTCAGACTCCATTTATCTTACACAAGGGGTGACTTTAAATATTAAATATTTGTAAAACTGAGATCTTTGAGGTGAACCTACCTTATATACTACCATTTTTTGAAGTTAAAGACAAATTAAAAATAGGAATCAGACAGCGATGTGCAGACTTTGCAGAGGTACACAACAACCTTACCCTCCTGTGCCCCTGTGCCTTTCTCTCATTTTTGCTTGCAGTAGCAAAACTAGCCTAAACCACAATATTCAAGTGGAATAGCACTAGCAAAATAAAACAAAGCCCATCTCTCACATCAAACCACACTGTTCTTTTGCAAACCCAACTTTATGACACATAAAGGAAAACAATGCAATGTGCTGAATCAATGTTACTCCAAACACTGGAGTAACTGAGCAGAGAAAGAGATACCCACAGTTGAAGATAGATAGATAGATAGATAGATAGATAGATAGATAGATAGATAGATACACAGAGAGAGAGAGATTGTAGGCAATTCTCAAATCTCTTCCCTAGCCCCCAACTAGTCAGTTTGCACCCCCCTGAGATCACTCGCCAAAGTAACAGCTCTGAGGATAAGGATCAGGCCTTAATGTTACCCAGAGAAAGATAGAGTTCCTTTCACCCTTTCATTCAAGTCCTGGAAATTCAAAGACTAAAGTTAAATCCGGCCATAAAGTTTATTGCTGAGTAATCACACTCTAGTGAGAACAGTCCACTTAAATAAAAAGAATGTTGAAGTAAACATGCAGCTGGGGCCTACCCCACAATGGCAGCCAGCAATATAAGGCAAAAAGAGAGAGAGCAGAGCTAGGGGGATATTTACAATCTTCAATAAACCAAGCCCGTATTTCATAATTTGCAGCACTCTAATGACCTGTAGTCTCTTGTATTAATGCTACAAGTTACAGTCAATTGGTTTGCTTTAAAAAAAATGTCACAGGGACATGTAAATGTATACACACGTACACATCCTTTGTATCTGTAGCTACACCAATATTAGACACATATATGCACGTGCACGGCTTTACACAGACATATAGACCGATAGGTACATGCAAGCACACACGCATGTAATTTAAATATATTTATACAATTGTATATAGGGTCAGGAAAAAGTTACAGCAATGTCATAAATGTGCATCCATAAAACACGGTACGCACTCACAGATGGACATAGACGTGTAGTTAAAGCTCTCTGCACAAGCCAATGCAGAAAATATGTATCTAAGCACTCCAGTACAGTCTGTGCCATTTTAATACAATCTTTGATGTGCAACATATTTCACCAATGCAAGGATTATTACCATATCATCACGCCTCCAACTCTATCATGCCTGCATAAGATACAGCCCAGCTAATACCAAGACCTATCTATTTTGTTTCCCCCTTTTTTTAATCGCCTTCAGTAACTACTCTTTGCTAAACAAAACCTCTCCAAACTTGAAGAGTCTATTGGAGCAAAGGAAGTAATTATCTTCTGTGGTAGTCAAAGTGATTAAAGCTAGGCCCCAAAATCCATCTCTGCCAAAGTCGCTTATTGTGGTTTACTTTGATTTGATCGTTAAAATAGAGAGCTAGCTGCTGCGAGTGAAGGGATGGGGGGGGGAATTTTCAGCGCAACCTGGATCATTAGTGGTTGATCCTGCCTCTCGGGCTCGGTGGGACCATCCTGAAAAGCTCCAGGCAGAAAGGAAGGGAAAGAGAAAGAGAAAGAAAGAGAGACGAGAGGCAGCGAGAGCGAGCGGGAGCCTCGGCTTCCCCACTGTACAAATAAACTTTAAGGAACTTGTGCACAAAACTTACCTTTGACTTGCAAGGAGCCATTTTTCATATAGTACTGAGAACTTGTGGTTTGGATACTTCTGTCCCTAAACCTGACAATTTGAATGGCCAGGAGGCACACGTAGCCTGCAAAAGAGTCAAATGAAGTCCAGCGTCAGTGAGATTATATGTTATGTGGTATATAATGTTGGATGTCAACTCCCCAAAACCATAAAACTTACTTTAATGGCACCACGTGACTTTTTATAGCCAGTGAGCCTATCTGTCTGTGCTATGGATGATTTTACGATCTAATTCATAGACAAAACCCTATTCATTTGGCACCCAAATGTCATATAGCCGGAACTGGGGCTTATAAAGTTTACTGTTTTATAACTTTTAAGGGAAGGCATCAATGTAACCAGTCAGTAAATGTGCAAATCTTTAGTTGCTCTTAGAAGCTCAGAAGAGTTAACCATTCAAGCTCTGATGGGGTAAGTAACATTACGTTTATAGCAAACTAATTGTAGCAAAGAAAATCAAAAATCTTTTAAGGGTGAAGAGTGGGAATGTGGCTAGAGAGGGTTACTGATAGATGCAGAGAGCTCAGACGTGGCTGTCCTGCAAATATACTTAATGAAACCACAGGAGAAATTCTAGAGCGATGCAAACACGCCTTGGCATTAGCAGTGTTTTAACAAAGCACATGTTTTTTGGTTTGGTTTTTTTTTAACCATCAGCAAACAGCTAACAGTTGATTCACTCACAAAGAGTGTTGATTGTGGTCCTGCGATGCAGCTTTCCACCTAGGGAGAAACCAGTAAGGAAGAACTTACGATCAAACTTTCAATTAAAAATACTGGTAGCGGACAATTGCAGCATCCACCATTTGCAACGTGCAGCAGGAGCCAGGTAAAATATTATTACAAACTCTGCACGGGCTATTTTTTTTTTCAGAGGCAAATCTGGAAGCACAACTTCTTGTTTTGCACAAACCAGATCACGAAAACTTTACAATAGAAAGTTTATTTTTTTTGTTGATTTCCAGTCAGGTTTTTTTAAAAACAAATAATAATAATAATAATAATTAAAAAAAAAAGCTGATCACAGTTTGCTCAAACAGCCAGACTTTGACTATAATTGTAACTTTGTTCACAAAAAACATACATCACAGAAGCTGCGCTTAATAAGAGCCACTTCTAAGAGTTCGTGCAAAGAGTCATATACAAAGGCACAGCAAGGACATACTGCTTGGAATCACAGTTTTCGTCACAGATTCACTATTCACTACACGCAGGACAAATTCAGTTGATTTCATCATTTCACCTCTACAACAGCATTAATTACACAGGAATTATATAGGTAGTTTGAATAAAAATATTTTTAACAGCTTGGAGCTATACAGACATTAACACTTGACCACACATGCACAGTTAAGCAGGTTGAGTGCAACACATAACATTTGTACTAAACCGGGGGCGGGTTTCTTTCTCTCTCTCCTTTTTTTTTTTTTTACTTCTCTTTTTTTTCCTTTTTGTTCTTTTTTGTTCAGTTTTGTATTGTTTTAACAGTTACTTCAAGTAACACAGCTCGCTTCATATAAATAAGTTAAAACATCTATTATTTTTTTCAAGACAAAGCCATTCAAGACAAAGAAATGTACGATAAAAGCAGATCTACTTATACACGCGAGAGAATGGTAATAAACAGGCTCATGATTAAAAGATGAATAAGGGCGACAAGAACAGGGTTTCTTCACAGAAGTAACACAAGGAAGTTTTAGAAAGTCAACTTAGTACTGACATGAGACAACGCAGGGTCAGCTAATACTGCTCAGTACTTTTAATTGATCAAACGCTTAGGGACGGAATGCCCCTCCTGCAGCTGCCATGCTCATACTTTTCAGCTTATTATCCTTTTTCCATTTCATTCTCCTGTTTTGGAACCAGATCTTTATTTGTCTCTCTGAGAGGCAAAGAGCATGTGCTATTTCAATCCTTCTTCTGCGGGTCAGGTATCTATTGAAGTGAAATTCCTTTTCGAGCTCCAAGGTCTGATAGCGGGTGTAAGCAGTCCGAGCTCTTTTCCCTTCTGGTCCCCCTATGTTGTCTGGAAGAGAAAAGTACATGATTTAGATTCTCAGCAGCCACTCGGAGCCTTCGTGTCTCATTGCAGCTACCAGCGACCAGGACCGTTATTCTCAGTCCTGCTTGGTTTTGTTTCTGCTTTGGATAAACGCTCAACAAGTTTCCCCCTCCAGCCCCTCTTAGGAAAGGCTTGGGGGAGGGGGATTTGGTAGTCTCGGTAAGTTTTCGCTTGGATTTGTGGTTCGATTTTTTAAAACTGAATTTTTTCCTTCCCCCCCCAAGGTTAATTCCCCCCACGCCTCCCCCAGATAAGCTGCTTTGGAAGATGTCTCTGCTGCTAGCTAGGTTTTCAGAGCTGGGAGAGCAAAGCTTTCAGCCCTTTCCCACGGCTGAGCTGGGGAAGGCTCTGGGAGGCAGCGAACTCCCGGCCGCTCTCCCAGCAGCGAGGGCAGGGCAGGTACCCGGGGCTGAAAGTTGCCTCACTTCCCCGCGCCCCTCAAGCCCTCTCCCCCGAGTTTGGGGCGACTCGCCCTTCCCCCCTCCCCCCCCCCGGCTTCCCAGCATTGAAAACTGCCCTTCTCGCCCTCTCCTATTCTCTATTTAATATGTCTCAGCAAAATAAATGGGGTCAGCCGCGCTGTTCCCTCTGGAAGATCCCCCATCCAGAGGAGAGCCGGGAGCAGCCTCTGCTCCCGATCCCCCTTCGGCAAGGCGCCTTCTGCTCCCCCGCCGGCGCTGGGAGCCAGACGGGTTGTGTTTTTGGGGCCAGGCGGTTTTTTTCCTTTCGGGGGGACTCGCCCAGAGAAGGGAGTGTGCTTCCCTGCGAGCAGAGTTGTGGTGTGTGCGAAGACTGCCCGCTCTCACGCCCTCCTCTCCCCCTCTCCCCGACCTTGCTCGGCGCAGCCACCCGGTTTACATTAAATCCTCCTTTTCCTCCAGAGAAATAAAGAAAGAACAGGGTATTTGCTTTACCATGACTTATGTGCAGTTTTCGCATCCAAGGGTAGATCTGGGGCTGTGAAGGCTGGGCTGTGCTTTGGTCGGTCGGGGCACTTGCCTGCTCGCTGCTTGCTGGAGTGTCTTCTTCAGTCCCAGACGAGGTGCCAACCCCGTCTCTGCTGATGTGCGTGTTGCTGCTGGAATTGGACGAAGTGCTGGTGGAGTTGGCGAGGGAGTTTTTCACCCCGTGGTGACTCTCGCTGACAGGCGAACCGGCCACGGCGGTGCAGGGCAGAGGGTCAGGGGGAGGCGAGTGAGAAGACGTCGCGGGTTGGTTGTACCTGGGCTCTGTCGAGGCAGAGGTGGTGTTGGCCGGGTAACTGCGGGGTCTCTCATTGGCACCAAAGTGGGTGGAAGCAGAGCGCCCGACGCTGAGGTCCATGCCATTGTAGCCGTATCCGTACCTGCCGGAGTGCATGCTGGCGGAGTCCCTGTATTGCTCGCTCACCGAGCTGTGATCTCCATAATTATGTAACTGGTAGTCCGGGCCATTTGGATAGCGACCGCAAAATGAGTTTACAAAATAAGAGCTCATTTGTTTTTTGATATGTGTGCTTGATTTGTGGCTCTTGGTCGTTTTGTGCGTCTATAGCACCCTTGCACAATTTATGATGAATTATGGAAATGACTGGGACATGTACTTGGTTCCCTCCTACGTAGGCACCCAAATATGGGGTACGGCTTCACATCACGTGCTTTTGTTGTCCAGTCGTAAATCCTGCCTGATGACCTCTAGAGGTAAACTCGTGCACTGGTGGGGGAGCTGGGAGGGCGCGGGCGGCCCGGGGCGCGCCTCCCGTGCGCGCCGCCGCCTCCGCCGCCCGCCCGTCCGCCGGCCTCCAGCGCCACCCGCTGGCGGCGCGGGGGATGGCGGCGGCTCCGCGGGGTCGGCCCGGGGTGACGGCCCCCGACGGCGGCGCGGAGCAGAGCGGAGAGGCGCGGAGCGGAGCGGGCCGCTCCGCCACCGAGCCCGGCGCCGCCGCCGCCACCAGCGGCATCGGCAACCGGCGGCGAGGCCGCGGGGCCGGCGGGAATTGCTCCTCCGACCCGCCCGCAGGAGAGCTCGGAGTGGAGAGAGCTTTGTGCTTGCCTTCTCCTCCGTGCGAGGCTTATTTACGCCAGTTCACAAAGCCTATAGGATCCGTCCTCGGGAGCTGACAACACTTATGTCTCTTCTACATCTATAGGTATATATATAATTTCCCCTCCCCACTTACTCCCGTGCCGGAGCTTTAGAGAGGCAACCGGGTCCTGCCGATGTGAAATGGCAGGTACCTATGAAAGATAAATATCGTGCAGCGTTTTTCCAGCTAGGGAGTCAAATTCCAGGCGACTTTACGGTCGCCGTTATTTTATCGCCTCTCGAAAGGAAAATAACTCTCTAAATACGGCGGTAGCCATTGTGCATTGGTGTTCTTCAGATCTGGCTTTTAATATGTTTAGAACAGTAGCCCAAACTGTGCTGCCTTCCAAACAAAAGAGCCTCGATGACTATACAAGTGCATTTGGACACAGTTTCACACGCATACTCATGCACACGCAATATAATATAGAGAGATATAACGTATATATTAAGCAATATTTTCACTGAGCTTATTTTACTTATACAGAAGTCGAAGTGGAAGCATTTTATGGCAGTTATTTTTCTACAGAGTATCAATTTATTTTTTCCAGTGCTAAGAAATGCGAATGTGCATTAAAATACCACAGAACAGGAGGAAAATATCCCCGAGTTAATAAGATTTTTTCTTTAAATAAATAAGAAAGAGAGAAAGAGAGAAAGAGAGAAAGAAAGAAAGAAAGAAAGAAAGAAAGAAAGAAAGAAAGAAAGA